CATTTCAACTATCTCGTTTCTTATCTGAGCGATGAAGCGGCGTGATAAAAACTGAATTGTCACCTGCTGGGTGTCTACGGGCATGGAAAAACAGTCGCCCTGATTGGAATCAGAGGGGGTTCGTCTAGATTCTCCTCACGTTTTTCCGTCGGCACCTCCACCATCAAATGGTGGTTTTTATCACGCCATTAGAAAGCAAGCGAGAGTCCAATAGACTATCTTCATTCCCTGCAGCAAGTCGCAGTACAAGCATTCCCTCGTTTAGATACAATGGGACGAGAAGAATTAATACGCTCACGTTTTGTCGAAGGCCTGTTGCCCGGACCACTTAAAGAACACTTTCTTCGAAATCCACCAACCGATACGTCTGACGTAAAAAGAACAACATTACGCTTCCTGGCAGCTGACAAACTAGTGAATTTATCCAGTGTACATTCATCATCAGTAACGACTGTGGAACGAGCTACAAAATCTAGTGGCCTGGACAGCTGCCAGACTGCGATGGCTGTGTCCGACCTTCCCGGCCGAGGTGCTACGCGCGGACAGTCAAATTCGAGGTGGAATAAACAACCAGCATGGGGAAACTACAGTGGGCGTCAAGCCGACTATATATATTGCAAAAGGTTTGGCAGGAACGCCAGAAGATGCGGTCACAACCGCCCCCGTAAACAGGTAAGCGGCGTTTTGGTTATTTATCGTCCTATGTTAATCATGTCAATCCAACTACGTTTAAAGGTTGAGTACAAGACATCGAGCTAGACATACTTCTAGACACAGGAGCTTCAGTATCCCTTATTAAGGAAGACTTCTTGCAGAGACTTAACTACAGCACTCAGCGTAAACAGTGCTCCTCTACATTAATCACGGCGAGCGGAGACCCCTTGACTGCGTGTTCTAAGATAGGGTTAGAGCTAACAATAAACAAGAACTCTTTTCGACATGAATTCCTGGTTTGCCTCACACTGACCTGGAACATGATACTCGGGGTTGACTTCATGTTAAGATATCAGGTCTCTATAGACATGAATAAGTCGGAAGCTAAAATTGGCGGGTTTGTCGTGCAACTACAACGCCAGGAAATGCCAACCGAAACCGTAGCCCAGGTGGGAATTGCAAAGATTGTACGTCAGGTACAGGATAATAAAATAATAAGTGAAAAAGACCGTCGAGCAACCACTGATGTACTCCAACAATTTAGTTCCGTTTTCTCTGAGAATATCTCTGGAAATCGGACGACCACTGTACAGCACTCCATCCTCACAGGTGATCACATGCCATTACGTCAACCACCTCGTCGAGTACCAGTACATTACCAGCCTCAATTAGAATCAATGATAAAAGATATGCTAGAGAAAAAGATCATTGTACCATCTTCATCACCATGGGCATCGCCTATTGTTTTAATGAAAAAGAAAGACTCCTCCCTACGACTGTGTGTAGACTACAGACGCCTTAATGCTATAACCAAACGCGATTCTTTTCCACTTCCACGAATTGATGCTACATTAAATTCTATGAAAGGCGCTCGCTGGTTCTTGACTCTAGACTTAGCATCAGGGTATTGGCAAGTGGAGGTTCGACCTCAAGATAGAAAAAAAACCCGCGTTCATAGTACCCAATGGTCTATATGAATTTCAAGTGATGCCCTTCGGGCTAACTAATGCCCCAGCCACCTTCCAACGATTGATGCAGACAGTTCTATATGGTCTCGTACCACACAAGTGCTTAATTTACCTGGATGATATTATTGTGTATGGCAGCACGCCGGAACAGCATAATGCCAATTTAAGTGCAGTTCTACAACGTATTAAGCAGCACAACTTAAAAGTAAAACCATCTAAATGTCGACTCTTACAAAAAGAAGTACTCTTTTTGGGGCATCGCATTACGGAAGATGGAGTAGCAACGGATAAGGCAAAAACGAGCGCCATTATTAACTGGCCACAACCGAAATCTGCCCAGGATGTTCGCAGCTTCCTGGGGCTCGCTTCTTATTACAGACGTTTCGTACGCGATTTCGCATCCCTGGCAGCACCTTTACATCGCCTGACGCATAAAGGACGAAAATGTTTTTGGACCACAGAATGCCAACACGCATTTAACACTTTGAAGTCAGTTCTTGCTGCTCCGCCCATACCTGGCTTTTCCGGACACTTCGGCTAAAGCGGGTGAGTTCATACTTGATACAGATGCTAGCTCATCAGCTATTGGAGCAGTCCTGTCTCAAATAGCACAAGACGGAAAGGAACGGGTCATAGCGTATGCTAGTCGGCGGCTAGATAAAAGAGAGACACGGTATTCTACGACGCGCCGAGAGATGCTGGCTTTGGTAAAATTTTTGCAACATTTTCGTCACTATCTCTTAGGACGACCCTTTCGTGTACGCACAGACCACCGTGCACTACAGTGGCTTCGTTCATTCCGTGAACCAGAAGGTCATGTAGCGCGCTGGCAGGAGAGGTTGCAGGAATTTGATTTTACTTGCGAATACCGACCCGGAAGCCGACACACAAACGCCGATTCCCTATCTCGTATACCCTATTCTCCTGATACCATTAATGCCGTTCTTAGCACAGCCCCCGATATCAACTGGCCGTCGCTTCAAGCAGCAGACCCTGATCTGCGATTTATTTACCAGAGGCAACTACATGGCAATAATAAACCATCTATGACAGAGTTGAAGGATCATTCCTTGGCGACGCGTCGCCTGTGTGCCAAGTGGAGCAGTCTAAGATTGTATGAAGACACGTTATTTATAGTCAGCGAATCAAAACAGCCACTATTGATAGTACCACGTGTACAGGTTCAGAATATTATGGAGCAGGTACACCGAGAACTGGGGCACTCAGGAAAACGGAAGACTGAACATGCTATCTGCCAGAGGTTTTGGTGGCCATACATCCATGAAGACGTTGCCGAATTCTGCAAAAGTTGTAGCACGTGCTATGCTATCAAGTCACCCCAACAAATACCTCGTGCACCCTTAGTTTTAATGACGACAGAAGGTCCGCATCAGCGAGTTGGCATCGATATTATGGGGCCACTCAAAACATCAAGGAACGGAAACCGTTATATCCTAGTTATGGTAGACTATGTCAGCAAATGGTGTGAAGCTGTTCCTATACCACAACAAGATGCCTTCACAGTCACTCGTGCTTTCATTGATCATTGGGTATCCCGGTACGGCGCTCCCCTTTCACTCCATTCTGACCAAGGTTCAGCTTTTGAAAGTCATCTCGTCGCTCAGGTATGTCGATTATTGGGAATCCGAAAAACACACACTACCGCATATCATCCAGAAGGTAACGGCTTGGTGGAAAGAACCAACAGGACTATCAAAACTTTCTTACAGTCGTTTATCAATAAGTCGTCGACGGAATGTTGGGATGATGTGATACCACAATGTCTGTTAGCCTACCGCGCATCAGTGCACGGATCTACGGGATTTTCACCCGCGACCCTACTTTTTGGACATGAATTGCGCTTACCCGTTGAGCTGAAAATACCGTTGTTACCATGCGAGGCCCAAGATCATGTAGTATACATCCGTAACCTTCGCAACCGCCTAGCCGACGCCTATAGCTTAGTGAACATCAACTTACAAAATGCCAGCAGGCACCAAAAGGATGTGTACGATCGCAAGGCGAACGGACCTGTGTATAAACCCGGAGATCGTGTGTGGCTGCACCGCCCTTTGGGTCCACCGGGGACATGTAGCAAGTTCCATCACCCTTGGCAAGGACCTTATGAAGTGGTGTTTACGCGGTCCCCCACTACATTCGTCTTACGTAACCTCCAACGACCCCAAGACGATGTTATTACAACACACTACAATCAATTGAAGCCCGATAGAAGAATGGTGCACTTAGATACCCCGACCGTCAACCCGCCGACTGCCGTCAGCCATTATGAAGTGCCACCAGAGGGAGGGGTAGCATACTCATGTCCAGCACCAGGCACTGAGGACAGCGCCTCATGGAGAGAGGGGGTAATGTATCAGTATCAAAAACCATTACGTGTGACTTTATTAGTGCAAGTTTGTTTTCCTTGTTTCAGGGCAACAGAAAGTGAACGTACTAGAAGAGGAAGAACAAGCCTTGTGCAAGTTAAACCTGCGGGATAATGAGTAAAACCATTTTGTAATAGACTTCCCGTTTTTGTACTTAAACCGCGTAATTCAACTTTGAAATATATCTATGCTGTGCTCGTACGCCTTGTTCTCACTTGAGTAGCATCTGTCGGTTCTGACTGTTGTGTTGTGTTTCAGATCGCTCCTGCTCCCAGATCAACGCTAATAGTACGTGCTACAAATTGGTGGCGGAGGTGGGATTCGAACCCACGCCCTATTACGGACTGATTAGAGAAAAGAAACATTACTTCTGTTTTAAGAAGTATGAAAACTGACTACAAACCATATTCAGTGAAACTCATGATCGATGATCTCCGTCAACTTCTTTGTTTTAAAAACCCATAAAACACAATTAGCCGATTAACTCACCATTTATCTTGATACAAATTACCCGATAACAAATTTACACCTGTAAATGATCCAAATATATTAATTACCAAACTAATAAACCCGGCCAACAGAGTAGACAAGACAAAAAAAGGTCGCTTAGTACGCTGCACATATATATGATTGCAATGATTAGGGAATATACTCAAGGTCACCGGTGTTGAAACTAGCTAGTGAGAAAGATGTCATGATCACAGTGGATGACAGCCAGCTCGACCCACCAATATACATCGCTCAAATTCACTTAAGAAACTGCGATTTCTGCTTTTATTAGATTCATTTACAAGATGTTTATCAAATGTTGTATCACACGTGTTTGTGAAAATCCAGTACACTACTGTGACCAATACCCCTACTGATGTATGGAAATACTTAGATTGAACTCAATACTGAGAATAGTGACTACAGTTTTTAAAAAAATTAGTAGAACGAAAACCAACGATAAAAACTTAAATCAACAGAAATTAGAAGACCAAAAACTTACATTCATATCTGGGACCGTACCTTCTTTTAGTTCACTTTGAATCTCTTTAACTTGTTGTACCATCAAATTATGATAAAGACGCAATTCAGAACGATGATTATCGATTAATTGGGTCTGTGAAGGTTCTAACAATGAATAAGCAATTTTTCGTATTAAATAATTCGCCAGTCAGTAGGCTTAATTTCGATTTACTTTATTATTCCACTGATTAAATTGAATAAGAGAACCCGTGTCTTGCGAGCTGATTAAGCCACGTTTATCATGAGTGAGTAATAAGACTATATGGTTAATAAAATATTATTAAATGTAGATCGACTCATGATTTTAGTCAAACACAACAATCTCCACAACTCCATATTGAAAAGTGTAGATATATTGAAAACGATTATCTGAACGGCTGAAAGTCGGATGTCTAAAAAACAATTTATTTCTGCTCTGACCAACTTAGGTTGTAAACATATTTCAGCACTGCATTATTCATATTATAGATAAACTAATGAATTGGAGTATATATTCCATTGCTACTCTATGTGATATGTATTACGTAGCCCCCAAATGCCCTGGTATGGCCGAGAGTGGGGAGAGTCCGCTCTCCCTCTCCAAATGCTCTCACATGGCCACGCATATATAGCCTCTGCCAGGGAAGTCATACTCACTGCCTTCTCGTGGCGGGGTGTCGTTTACGAAATTGAGAGGACGAAACGCGAATGTCCGGAGCTTTAACAGGATCCCAAACCAATGGTGCACATGGGCTCCAGTATCCTCAATAAACAAATGGCGTATGAACCAATCGTCGGTCACCGGCTTCCATGGGACTGCATCTCCTTACGATGCTCCACTGCCTTGTGGGTCAGACCTTTAAGTAAAAAACTCGGGGTGTGGCCCCCTAAGAAAACCACCTGCTTCAGTTTGGGCACCCAGGCAGTATCACAGCCCTCACACATATCGAATGAGATTTGTGTGGCGCATATGTATTTGGTGTCTCTTTGTACCAATATCTATGTTAAAATAAATGAATAAATGTATTACGTAGGAGGAATTAAAAGTAATCCTCACATAGTTTAAGGATCCATGGCTTACTGATCAAAACACTCAACTTCAAACAGTTCAGTCCTAAATTTAAATCCCACCATTTCATCTTATTTTATTTGAAAAAGTGGGTATTATCAAGAGCTACTCCAAGAAATACAGGGATGAAGCAGAATAACTGATTACCGATCACGTGTTATGATTAAAATAAAAAATCCGAAAATGAAAATATAAGTATACATACAAAGTTTGGAGTTAGTCAATGAGAGGAAACCAAATATATATTTAAACTTACCATATATATTTACGTCTTCTGACTTTAATTGTGCAGTGCCTACTTTTGAACTACCAAGTGCTATAACCCATCTTTGTCGATCTGCCCGCGATAAAGCACGCAAATAATATCTTTGTTCACCAAGGATCAAATCAAATCTTCGTGGATCGGAACTATGAACTGTATCATTTGTACGCAATAAACTAGCAGTATTTACATGAAACTCACCTATAACATCACATACAGATAATTTGACCGATCCTTTACATCCACTATTCATTTCTTCTTTGGATCGATAGTATGACAGAACTCCATCGTCCAAAATGAAATATCGTTGTTGCCAACCACTAACATAATTTGTCCATTTTAATAAAATACCCTCCATTATATCAAACTAAACTGTCGATTTATCTGAGCAACTTATCTAAAATTAACAATGGAAGCAAATCATGGAAAAACTAAATTCAGTACATTGATATTATGCTGAATCCCCAGAAAAAATATCAATAATTCTACATAATTTAGCGTGACATTTTGCGGGGTTACTTGACTTGTTTATCTAACAGTTCTTATGACAAGAAGTGCAACAAACTAGATAGTTGAGAAGGGTGATGATACAGTCAAGCACCTGACTAAAATCGCAAACCACATAACTAATTATAAAACGTTGGCTATAAGTAGCGCATAACCTTTTACACAGCACACGAATGAATAATTTATTAAGAATCCTAAATAAAGTATTCTCCTTGAGATTCTTACTCACAGTAAATATAACCGAGAAAGCTACTCAGAATGCAACAACACTAACAAAATGATGCTCTCTGAAAATGTGACCAATGGCACATTGTGAGAAAAGTTGGTGTTTATCAGTAAAAGCAGCTTTTCCAATATACTGCAGCTAAAGATATTCAACTGATGTTATCTCTAAACGACTGTTCGTTAAACTATATGCGAAATCTCATGGTGTGCAAACGCTTTTGAGGATGATGGAAAGCATTGGAAAATAAGTGTGATGTCTTATAACACTGATTGAGGCTGTTAATTAACATCTAACGAATGTCAACGCATTCTACATTAAGTTGCTGCAAAATTGTTCAGAAGTGCAATAGACGTAAATGTAGTTATAAATCCAATGAAATTAGCTCAGTCTACCACAATTAGGACAATTAAGTAGTGATAACAGTCGTCACAACAGACGTAATATGTATGCTATCATAATTCATCTTACTAATAACCATGCAAAAGCTAAAATTACCACCGCTTCATGGATTAAGATAACCAATTATTGGTTTTGGGACGGAGATACCTAACTTGGAAATCTACATTTGTATATGGCACTATGACATTGTAAACTAATTTTGCCTAACATCTCGGTTGATGATAGGATAACCCACTTAACAGGATCCAAGTGGTAGTTTGTAGAAACCCATATAGAGACAATAAAAACCTATTTCAGTTTTCTACAATTACGAATTACAATTTAGAATTCAGTCAGGTTAGGTGACTATTAGTGAAGAATTGACAAGGTATTATATTCCGAGTTCTATACAATGACGAGTGGTAAGTAAAACCATTTTCGTATGTAAAGAGTGAATATCAAAGTTATTGGGAAAAAAAATCAAAGTTACCACTATTGTCGTACATATATAATTGTGGAATGTCTATCTCCAAACATAGATTCCTGTTTTGCGAAATAAGACCGGAATGCTTACGTTCGAGGCCCAGTGACCTTCTTGGCTAAATAATAGACAACCTTTTATTAACTAACTATAATAGCAACCACTACAAAGAAATCCATTGACAGTACTATGTGACATGTCACATATCGTATCAATGTGATGGGATATTTTTAAATTTATTGACGGTGTTTCAGGTTGACCACATGAACAGAATTCTAAACGATAGATAAAGCACAATAATGATAAGTCCCTACATTATTGACCCAAGCGCAGTACATCGTACAGTAGATGCGTCTTATGTACAATATGAGCAAGCCTTGTGAACTGAAATTTACAGTAATGGCCAACAGTTCACAGCAATGAACCAAACAAAGAAACTCCACCACAGGTTGTGACTCACAGAAGAAGCAGCCATAAAGTATTTCTATCGTCAAGCTCAAGTACCGCAATTTATAAACATAGCGCTTAAATACAATACCCAATGTCTTGGTCACGAGTTTGTATAAACTGATTGATCTTTTTGCACTCACTTATTGTTATTTTTGTGTTATTCTAGGTACTTAAAAGTGGCCTTAAAACATTACCGATAAGTCTGTATTGTTAGGATCGATTGATATCTCCGTGTTGACCTCATAGATCGAAGGTGCGACTCTTGAATATTAATAGCACGTAACGCTGGTCTAAACATCATGTGGTAAGAATCAACGTGTCTGTAGAGAAAGTAAAGCGTCACGGCTCTATCAACATCATTTATCAAGCCTGTCACTGGGACTCGAATAGTTTACCGACCCCCTCAATATCAACGATAATTATTGCGGTTAGTTGATCTGAGACCGATTTTACTGTGTGATGGTGTTAACGAGATGCATATGGCGACTACGCTCGTATATAATCAACGAAGTGTTTTGCATTAGAGAGTAGAGTAATAAAATAATTCAACTACAAGAGTGAACTTAAGATACGTATTATACACACCCTCGTTACCAAAGGGAAACAGTAAAAGATAGACAAATTGTAGTGCGTCAAAGAGACAGGCATTGGATAAAATAATAATTGACAGACAACCACGCACGAAACCCGTAAAAGTAGAAATAGTTTGATAAAAATAAGACGTGTATGTGTGCTGAATGTCGCGGTTTTGTAGTGTCGGTGGGCCCTAACCACACAATCCTCAAAGCTGAACAGCAGACAACTCGGAAAATAGATAATTAACATTTAACGCGAAGAAAAACACAACGGTGGAGAAGGCGAGAACAATGAATTGAATTAGTCCGAATCCATCGAACGTCATGGCTCTGCCTTGCAAACGTGATTATTATTGAGTGGTAACATATGCTTTTTATTCATATCAAATATATTGTTCTATCACTAGCCTAAGCGTGTTCTTCATCATGTATATTCAATGATTTTTGTGACAACAAAAACAAAACCTTTTCACTAAATTGTCACAATTTATATGCAACCACATTTATATTTATTATACTCATATAATTCATGTGTATTTTTGTGGTGCTTGAACGAACCAATGATTTTTTTGTAACCGTTGAGTGCTCGATTTCGAATTTTAAATACAATACATTCGTTCGTGCTTTTATCGTACTTCTTGATTCAGTTGCGTTATTTCGGGGATTTTTAGTTCGTCCTTACTTACTTACTTACGCCTGTTACTCCTAATGGAGCATAGGCCACCAACCAGCATTATCCAACCCACTCTGTCTTGGGCCTTCTTTTCTAGTTCCATCCAATTCTTGTTCAATTTTCTCATGTCTATTTCCATTTCTCGGCGTAATGTGTTCTTTGGTCTTCCTCTTTTCCTTGTGACGCAGTTGGGTGCTTTCCTCAATGTGTGTCCGATCCACTTCCAGCGCTTCTTTCTGATTTATTCCTCCGCTGGGATCTGGTTTGCTCTCTCCCACAGTTGGTTGTTGCTAGTAGTGTCCGGCCAACGGATCCGAAGTATTTTGCATAGACAACTGTTAATAAACACCTGTATCTTCTAGAAGATGGCTTTCGTGGTTCTCTAAGTTTCCTCCCTTCCTTCCTATCCTTGGCCATCAGTTGCACATTCGCAACGCAACTTTCGTGAAGCACGCCAACTGTAGTACTGATTAAAAACAATCTACATTCATATCTTATAATTTATCAACCCAGCTATGTAATTTACTACAGTGGATATTGTATCATTTGTATCAATTTGACCTTGCCTGTAAACTGGCGTGCCTCATGTAACAAACTGTTATTTGAGAATAAATTATTATTATTATTAAAGTAGAACTGTCTTGACATTAGTATTGAACATTCTGACCTTGGTGTTGGCTGACAGTTGCTTTGAGTTCCAGATGTTCCTCAGTCGTAAATATGCTGCTCTTGCTTTGCCGATCAGCGCCTTCACATCTGCATCAGATCCACCCTGTCCGTACTATAATTCAAATAATTCGAAACACTATAACTTTGTAATGCTAAATGCTTTAAAGGTGGTAAAATTGAGCACATAAACAGTTTTTAATACTACCATTCAGTTCTCTTCAAGTAATGTTAAACTTTGTAATTTCGATCCTATTAAGTGTTGCGACCGAATAACCAATAGTCGATTGGAAAAACGGACTGACGAACCCAAAATTTATTCGATTAGACCAGACCACGTTCCTCTGTATAGCTCACAACTCGTTTTTGAGATACTCGTATTATATTATATTAAAACACAAACTCTGTGCTCAATATAAACAGTTAATGCCAAAGGGTTCGATACCTGAAAATCAGTACAAATATTCCCAACAAGATGGGATCAAATATCTATCTGCAGGGATTCCAGCAATCCTCCCAAGCAGACAGTCAGAAGGTTAACAGTCATACACTGAGCCACGCCGTGACCCTGAGCTTAGTCAAACACGACCTTACTGTCAATGGTCCGGCAACATGTAATAGAAAATTAGGTAACAAAAGATAAGTCTTTAATCAAAATCACATAACAAAGGCTCAAACGAGTAAGACTGAAGAACAAAAAATGTGGTTAAACGAGATGTGAACAAAGGTTAAAATACACAACAGGGAAAAGGAACGAAAAAAAAGACAATACTGTTCAACAAAGAAGCTGCATAGGGATTTTCATCGTTCTTTTTCCGTTACATTAAGTTGAATGTTACGAGTGAATAACACTGTTCGGGTTTATGATATTATTTTACTAAATATGCGTTGTCTTAATGACTCATGTATTTCTAATAAAATCATTCACAAATATGTGAAAGATGTTTGGAGTTCACTAAATCCTGATGAGAACTCTGATATTCTTCTATCTGGTGTGGTTTGCCTTAATGATTAATTTATTTCTAGTGAAATCGTGTCTCAGTGTGAGAAACAAGCTCTAAATTAGCTAAAATCGTATCACAGTCCTTATGGTGTCTCATCAGGTGTTATTTGTCCCCACAATAGTTTTGTCTCTAATGATATCAACAATGAATGTGACAGATATGTTTCGAATGAGCCGAGTACTAGTTACCTTTCCGATGATATTGTATCGGATTTTGGATACTCGCACTAACAGTGTATGTCGAGTAGATTTCCTAGTCACTGTTATGATGAATTAGAGGGAATAGCAAGTTTTCTCGAAGCAATCGGAGAACCGGTTTGCCCAGATATGAAGTTTCCACAGATAGGAAATTCAAACCGAGTCCAAGTTTATTCTAATGAGTATGAGGCAGACGCATAA